TTTTTTTTTTAAGTACACTTCCTTTATTCAGGGTGATAAACCAAACCAGAATCCCAAACATGTAAAAACCCAAGGTGCTAGAAATACAAAATTAATTCACATTCAAGCTTGTCCAGACCCTGGCCACAAACCCTAGTGAGGTGCATGTGAATACTAAGTCATGGAGAGGGGGACAGGAGTGAGGCCAAGAGAAAGGGTAGAAAGGGGCTTCCATAGTCCCCCTAGGGATCACTTCACAGTGGCACCTCTACCTTCCCAGTGACAGTGAACGCTAAGTCCTAACCTTTTAACCCCCACCCATCCCTAGCCAGGGCTTTGAATGCCAGTCCCAAATGGTTTTACCCTCTTTTGCCCCATCCTCACTTGCTCAGACTTCCAGCCTCACTCTTCTCCTTCTCCATACTCTTCTCTGTGATTAGTACCAGATTAGGGTACTATATGAACTACAGTGAAACTAGGGTAGAGAAGTTAGGTACTACTTGAACTACAGTGAAGCAGGGTAGAGACAGGTGAAAAAAAGAGCAGTCCAAGAATCTCCCTCTTCATGGGATCCCAAACTATACAATCAGCTCCTCTTTCGCGTCTGCTTGGATTTGAGCAAGTGCACTGTAGGCATAAGCAGCTATCCTGGAGACCCACTGCAAGTCAGAAAAGGAGATGGGCTTGCTGGCCAGCACTTGGGACTGGCTGGTAAGACATGGCAGCGGCAGCAGCTTCTTCCAGTGGGTTAGGCTGCTCAGCACAGCCAAGTGGGTGCCGTACTCCCTTGCCTGGCCCGTGTACTTGTGCTGCTTCATGCCCTGGGAGTCTGTAGCAGACACGTCAATGATATTGCTGGCTCCCTTAGCAAGCATGGGGAGAGCAGGGCCTGCTCATCTATGTGAGTGGAAGGCAGGCTGGTAGTTGGGCTCAGCTCCATTGAAGGCTTTGGTAGGCGGGCTTCTAGGGTCAAGCAGTAGCAACTGCTCCTCTTGATCTTTATCTCAGTCCTTATTCTCACTGCTCTAGCAGTGACCCATGGCTGGGTTCAAGTGTTCAAGTTGCGCCGAGGAGGGACATGTCCAATGGCAGCCCTTTTAGTCACATCTTGAAGGACTCTCTTTTTAAAAAAAATTCTAATATTTGTCTGTTTTTTATTATTATTTTATTATATTTTTAATGTAATTTATTGTCAAGTTGGCTAATATACACTGTATACAGTGTGCTCTTGGTTTCGGGGGTAGATGCCCATGACTCATTGCTTACATACAACACCCAGTGCTCATCGCAGTGCCCTCCTCAATGCTCATCACCCATTTTCCCCTCTCCCCTCCCATCAACCTTTCTGCCTCCCCCCTATAAACCCTCAGTTTGTTCTCTATATTTAAGAGTCTCTTATGGT